TAATTAATTAGTAACTGACGTTTCTATTTGTATTGCGTTTGTATTGTACTATGTTTACGTTGACGTGGCAGAAAGATTAATATGCTATTCCGATGATTTGTAATAATAATATCTTGATCCGTTGGGAATTAGCGGAAACGAAGTTTCCGCTTATTACATACGTTCTCATAGGATAATTTTTTTAATTTTACATTATTTATGCAGGTTAAAGTACATTTTTTAAAAAATAAAACTACGAAGAATAAACCAAAAAGAAGCATGTAAAAGTTTTATTAGGGTTATAGGACTCCACTATTAAAAATAATCAAAATCCCTTTTTGTTTGAGAGAAGTTAGCTTAATAGCACCTTCTTAAAGATAGATAGAATTAGTTTATTATCATTTTAACTTCTCTAAAACAAAAAGGGATTTTGATTATTTTTAATAATGGAGTCCTACAATCTAATAAAACTTTGTATATACTTCTTTTTTGTTTATTCTTCATAGGTTTATTTTTTTAAAAAAGTACTTTAAACTGTATAAATAATGTAAAATAAAAAAATTAAATAGATTTAAACAGCCAATCATACGAAAGTCTTCCTATGGCATACGGTCAGGGTATTATTAATTAATCATCCCGATCTTGATATAGTGATCGGGGATTATATTTATAATAAATGAAATTTAATTGATGACAGTACAAAATAATGTTAAATGTATTAATTACATTACTTTTACTGTTTATGTCGCATCATAACGTTATAATTTATTAATTATCAATTTGATCAGAAGGTAGATAGACTATTTGTTAATAATTAAAAGCCAAATTTTGTAAAGAAAAAATTTGAAGTTGTCCACTTGGTATTTGTATCTATTATCGCCTAGGTTACGAGTGATCTGTAAGATTAGTACCAGTAATGTAGCGATGTATCTTTAAAAATGTGTAAATATAATAGATAATTCCCGTTCCTGGTTTTGGCGCAACTGCGTTGTGCAGCTACCTTATTGGTTATGATTTTAGCTTATATTAAAATTATAATTTCAAGGAATTTTTTTTTTTTGTTAGAATCCAAGAGAGGTTTCATAAGCAAGATTTTGATTATTATATGTACCCGTGTTTTATACACTAGTGTATGAATAGAAATGCAATTTAACATATTTATTATATTCTACATAATTGGCTGTGGTAAATATGGCAACGGACAAAAATTAAATCAAACTATAATATGAGAAAAAAATGAGAACTCTTAGAACTAAACCAATGTTATGTTTCAAACATAAATTAATACTTGTGATAGACAAAGTAGTAGTGATGTGAGATAATTTTAATACAATATAAATAATAATTCGTTACATAGACAAATACTTTGTTTTCAAGCCGTTCGGACCAATGTTTAAAAATTTACGGTAATGTTCATAGAAATAAATTCCTCTTAACTTTTTATATTGAAGTTTATTATCATAAATAAATTAGAATGATTAAAATTAATATAATACATTTTCAATATGTAATACTAAAATTAACTTTGACTACAGCCTACATATACAGAATATTTAAGTATATTAGCATTGAAAAACAACTTATTTATATCCATCTCCGTTTTTTATAAATTTGGAACATTTCATATTCATATACAGAAAATTTATCAGTAGTATTTCGAATTTTTTTTTCGTATGAATCAAGTTGACAATAACATCGTTCATCTTTGTTAAAATTATTCTTCATGGCAAGATCACCTAAACCAAAACCACCACCGAAACATGGTCCATTATCAGGATTACAAATAATTGCATACTGTGAATATCTTACACGGCTTATAATAGAGGTTAGATTATTACCATTTCTCAATGAAAAAATAAAGCTATCACTACAGTTTATATAATTCTTAACTGATTTATCCCATTTGATAGGATTATATCCGCCAAGAATTTCATCAGTGTCTTTAACTTTTATGATCAAAACAGTATTTTCTCGCTTATCGCATATGCTCCAAAATGTACCAGCAGTAAAACCATCTCTCGTTCCACGAAGGAGTAATTTAAATTCATATGGATTATTTGCAATAGAATAATCTTCAGTTTTCTTATCAATCCATGTTGCAATTTCTGCTGCATGTGCTTCATTGATAATTTTTGAATTAAATATTTTTGATGATCTTTTTGAAAACCTTCTCATTAAAGGACTTTCTACTACTTCTTCAATTGCAGATTCCGTTTCTTTATTTATTCGAGGTGGAAGAAATATTGATTCATTTATCGGATATTTTGAATTCATACTTCTTTTTAGTATATCTCTCCAAAGATCATTTTCCAAAATTACTTGATATGGCTCTACATAATCAACCAATTCAACTCCAGGTATTTGAAAATAGCGAATAAAAGGCAAAAAATTTTGCAAAGTAGCCTTTAAAGCTAAAAAATTTTCACGAGACCAATCTTTTGGATCAGGTGGTAAGCCTGGATTTTGCGCAATTCCCCATTTAATGATATAATTCCAAATTTTTACTTCTTGCATTTGTAAATCATCTCTTTTTACAAGTTCGATCAATGCTTTTTCTGGAATAGAAATAAATTCATCTGATTTAAATACCATAGTTGGATGCTTTACTACCATATCATTGCACCATATTTGTAAATCCCGAAGCTTATCGGTTTGGAAACTTGTTTTATAAACATAAGAGAAATTTGAAATGATCCAATTAGAGTTTTCTTTGACTAAATAACTTTCAAGGTATTTGGCCAATTCATCAAGAAAAAATTCGTAAGAAATAATCATAAGTTTGAAAATAAACTTAGTGTCTTGATTTTCATGAATTTTCAATCGAAATACTCCTCCGTAAATATATCTTTATTGTATAATAATGAATAATGTTAAGAAATTAAATTAGTGTTTTAATGTAATAAATAGAGAGTAAAATTTTATGCGTTTAGCTTACTTAAGAATGATATCAAACTCTTGAGCAGAAACATGTTTTAAATTAATTGTTTTAATGTTATTATCATCTTCACGAATTTCGACCAATTTATCACGAAAATACAATGATCTACATCTCAAAATATTTGAATGTGCATAAAATTTTCTTGCATTTGAAGAATCACCCACATTAATAATTACATTAGAATCTTCTCTGTCATCAATAAGTTCAAGATAGTTATCCGAAAGTTTTCTAGGGAATTCTACTTCTTTTACATCCATTTAAGATAAAATATTGTACATTGAACCTTTTGGTATAAATAAAAAAAAGTTTATGTTAAACGTATTTTGATACCACTTTTATGTTATAAATTCTGTAGATTTATAGTAAATAGTTCGCTTTATTCTGACTAAAATGGAAATTTGGAATACGTAGTATTTTCGGAGTTTAGGAGTATAACTCCATAGATAATAAATGATTTTCAAATCTCGTATTACATTATGCATTATCGTGCTTAAAGTTGATCGTTGTTTGAAGTTACCATCCTGGGTATTAAATGTTACATTGCTTGAAGCCGCAACTTCATTTGAGGTAGCAAATCATGCTGTGAACTTTCAGCATAATATTGTGCTTAAACAGGGCATTTGATATATCTTAAGGGAGTTTATGCTATAATTATAATAATAATAATAAATAGTAAATTTTAAGATTATATATATTCAAACTCAAAATAAATTATGAATTTTACAGAATAGTTATGATTAAATAATATTAAGACTTTATTTACATTCAACTTATAAACATTTCAGATTATAAATTATATTATAAGATTAACAGTAGCTAAAGTATAGTTTTTTATGTTATATACAATTATAATGTTACAATTTGTTATATCTTATGGCAAAAAGGTTACAATCTTGTTTTTGGTTCTGTTTAATTAAGTTGCATAGCTATTACATGAAAAATCATGCAAAATTAGGCTAATTTTACAATTAGAAGGTTATCTGTATTGTTTAAATTATTGTTTTACAGTTTTACTACCTTTGTTAACTTTTATTATGATAATTCAATTTTTTATTACCTGATAATATTGTTCAACAGTCATCGAACTAAATGCAAGAATTGATCCAGAATCATGCAACATTATAAATATTTTTAATAATGTTGCTAATTAACCTAATTCAAAATCTTTAAAATTTGTACGCGCGCAAAATAATGATTTATTAAATTACTTATTTAAGGCCATTTTTATTAAGAATTTATATAATATGATTAATTAGATGAAATCATTAATATTAAATTTATAACCAGGAAAACGGGAACCGTCCGAAGCAAGAATCTGTCGTGTTACCTAATCTAAAAATTTGATTGGTTATCTTTAACGGACATTGCATAAAATGTATAAACGTCCTCGCTACGCTTCGGACAATTATTTATCATAGTTGATGATAGAAGAGTTTATGTAATATGAGCATTGACAAAAACAGTAGGGTAATATTGTTAAAGTCTTAAAACCTTATGTTAAGGTTAGGGTAATGACCTATTTTACACTAAATTTTGTAAGGAATTTTTTTCATTAGTACGTAGAAGATAGTTTCATAAATGAAATTTCGAGTTATCGATTTTCACGATACACCCAATATGGAGATCCTATTGGCGTCGCTTATTAGAAGAGATTTGATTGTTGCATTGTTCATGCATGTTGACAAGGGTCAACAGATAGAAAAGAAAGGGTAACACTGGTCAGGGGCTAGTCAAGGGTTACACACCACGTGCTACAACCCCTGCACTCAAACGATCATAACGAAGGGTATGGGTCGGGATCAGAGAAGAGATCAATCAATGCCAAATCGCATGAATCACTAAGCAGCAGAAGAATTAATAAGCAAGAAATACGTAATCACAAGCCACTGATCGTAATCGATATATAAAGAATCGACGAGAAAATCATTTCGACCCTCTGTCCCCCTTCAACACAATAGTCGTAGGCAAACAAGTTTCTCGAAAAAAAAAAATTTTTCGTCATACACAAACGGCACATATTCGAGTAAAAAAAAAAAAAAAAAAAAAAAATAAAGAGTGAAAGAAACGAACACACCATCACATTATGAGCAACACAGACCCAGGTCCACGTGACCAGGAAAGAGAACCACGCACAACCTTCCAGCCAACTCCAGGTACTTCGACATTGACATCGACAATTACAGCCAATAATCAAAGGCAAGAGACACAAATTGACCCACTAATAAAAACTTACATCGATGAATCAATCCGCGCATCTACTACCACAATTATCACATCTATCAAACAGTACATTGATACCCAGTTTGAAAAGCAAAGGCTATGGAATGAACAGCTTCAAACAAACATTAACGACACATTGTCTCAGGTGACCCAGGCGAACCCCAACATTAGCAACTCAACACAAGACAACAGTTCAACACCAGTAGATCACAGCAAAGTGTCACAGAAACTGCAAAGGTCAATAGACCCATCCAACATTGCACCAGCCAATAACCTAGCATCGACAAGCAAAGGGAAAGAAGCTGTCAATTCATCAGGTAAATACCCTCCCACACCAGTGTTAAACGATCTTATCATGAAGGCATTAAGAGTTACCATTCAAGATCAGAACACAGCAACCACTATAGCACCCATGAGCTTACATTTGTTTAAGCCAACACGACACAAGTATCCATCCTTTGACTATTCCAAATTCAAAGGTATTTACGATATTCAAGGTTTCACCAATCCTCATGCTGCAAAAACTGAAAGTATACGGGTCTGGTGGGTATGAACTGGTCAGAAGGCCAAAGAATAATTGAGACCCTTCCCCGCAAGCCAAACATCTCAGTTAAACTATGGAAAGCAATTGCTTTCGGTTTATACACAAACCTCCAAGAATTTTCATATACAAACTTACTGGACAACATAAAAGAGGCTGAAGATGAACCCACATTACAGTCTACAGAAGGTGGTACAATTTCAATAAAAAGGCAGTTACAGCACACAGTGTTTAATAATATTTCAGAATGGTTACTTGCCTTTAAAGCATATATGGACACTGTGCTTGTTATCTATGAAAATAGAGAACAGGAACTTAACACGTATCAAGATAATATTAACGAACTATGTCTTAAGCAAAGTTTTCATGCTGTCATGTCCTATGATGAAGATCAAAGAGTGACCTTAGTGACAAACAGGGACTCAACCCTCTTAGACTGTGATCTTGAAGCAGAGGGTAGAAACTTCGATCTAACTACAGTAAAAAAGCACAGAAACAGTATACGCCGAGCCACCCGACCTGATATTGAATGGCCTGATGGTCGGGAAATATGTATTAATTGGAACAAACATTATTGTGCTGATGAGAATAACTGCAGAAGAGTTCATGCTTGCCTGATCTGCAAAAAGTCTAATCACAGTGAGCATAAATACTACAGAAAGTCTAATCTAAAGAAAAACAACCCATCTAATAGCAGCAAAGCTGAAAAAAAAAAATACAAAAATAAAATAAACACATTATACACAGTACAAAAAAAAAAAAAAAAAAAAAAAAAAAAAAAAAGCAAGCAACAGCCCATAACAAACATTATAGGTTCTATATTACACAAATACTAAACACAAGAAACTGGATAAAAGCAAAAA